GCTCCCGTTAGTCGGTTGGGGACGCATGTGTCAGGGCGTGGATGGAGGGCGTGGATGGAGGGCGTGGATGGAGGGTGTGGGTGGGGGACGTACCGGTGACGGCGCAGCCCTTCGTAGCGGGGTTTGGGGCCGGTGCGGGTGGGGTGGCGCGCGTGGCCGTAGGTTCGGTTGCATTGGGCATCTTTGCGCGAGAGTTGTGAGCAGGAGGTGGTGGTGATGAAGAAAGGGGGTAAGTTGCTTGTGTCTCTCTCTAGCTAGCTCTAGACTTGGGCAAGTGGTCGGTGCTCCAGGGATACAGAATACCCTGTACCAAGGGTACTGTATACGGCGGATCAAAGGGATGGCGCCACAAACAAGGCCGATTGGTTGCAAAATTGGCCCGCCAGCACCGCCAGAGTTCAATTCTATAGCCCGCCATTGCCCCAATTCTTCCGCTCACCTTGCCGTCAAACCATCTGCACCCTGCACCCTCTCCGATCTCCCCCCTCCCTTGCCCAAGCGACGACGCTTGCGATCGCTGTATCCTGTACACTCCATCCGCCTAATCTCCCCCTCGCGGCGCTCATCAACATCTATCCTCTAACGCTCTCTCCAGCAGTTCCCCACAATTCGCGTCCTCCGGGCAATACCTCAGCGCCCGGTGATACATCACCACGGCTCCTTCCACATCCATCATTGCATGCAGCGTCATCCCCAACGCCGTGCACGTGGACCCTGATCTTGGTTGGAGCCCCAACGCGCGCTCGTAGCATCTCTTGGCGTTCTTAAACTCCCTCAACCGCCGGTAGCAGTGCCCCAAATTGAACAGCGTCGCCTCCTCAGCTTCGGCTCTTCTCCCGCCAGTGCTGGGCATCTCTCTCATTTCGTCCTTGGCCCCCCACAGCGCAAGTGCTTTTCTAAAATGTGCCACGGCGCCCGCCATGTCGCCCTTGCGATACGCCACGACCCCAAGCTCGTGCGGCGCAGCAGGGTCTGTCGGGCACGCCTCCATCGCGCTCTGGAAGAGCATTGCCGCGTGCCCCAGGCTGCTCTGCCTGGCGTACTCAATGCCCATGAACAGCATGGGCTGCTGCGCGCCGGGAAACAAGCGCGACGCGGTGCGGTACGCGCCCATGGCCTGGTCACTCTCATCCTGCGCGCCGAACGCGTGTCCCACGGCGACCCACGCGGGAGCCAACCGTGCGTCCAGTGTGGTAGCCTTGTGCAGAAACCGACGCGCGACCTCGGCCTTGCCGCACGCGAAGTAGTAGTAGCCGACGGCCATCCAGCTGACGGCGCTCTTCGGATCGCGGTCGACCAGCGAGTGGGCGAGCACGAAGAGGTGCTGGCGTTCGTCCAGCTCGACCAGGGCCGCGAGATAGGTGTGCCAGATGGGCCCGGCGACGAACGGATCGACGTCCAGAATGCGCTTGCACACGTCGACGCAGGCGGAAAAGTCGAGCACGTCGTACAGGCGGCGCGCGCGCACGCTGAGGACGTCGACGTTGTCTGCGGCGAGCGCGGTCTCGGGGAGGGGGTGGGCCGCGTCGATGGCGGCCGAGTAGTACTCCAGCAGCCACAAGGCGAGCGGCTCCGGCGGGAGACGCGCAGAGTCGTTGAGCAGGTCCGAGACGAAGCGGGCGGCGTGGTGGCGTGTGACCAGGCCGGATTGCGTGAGGGCGTGGAAGGCCTCGACGCAGTAGATGTCCGCGACGAGCGCGCGCTTGTACCACAGCACGGCTGGGGCGGCGTTGTCCATGGCCTCGTACACGCGGGCGCGGAGCACGCACAGCGCGGCGCCGATCTCGGGGCCCAGGGGGGAGTAGGAGGGGTTGATGGAGAGATGCTCCAGGGCTTGGTCGATGACGTGGGGCGTGGGGGAGGGCGGGGACAGGGTTGCGGAGGGGAGGGACGGCTCGTCCGGGCCCAGGATGACGAGACATTCGTCCAGCTGGTTGAGATGGAAGAGGGCTTGCGCGCAGAGGAGGCGGGCCGAGGGGTTTGTTTTGTGGAGCGAGCGCGATTGGAGGAGGTGCAGCGCGCGGCGGGGCTGCGATGAGGAGAGAAAGTGGCGTGCGAGGCGGAGCAGAGTCTGTGGGGTCGGGGAGGTGGAGGCGGCTTTGTCGGCGAAGAAGCGGGCCGTGTGCGTGAGGCCGAGGGTGAAGTAGCGGTCGGACTTGAGAGAGGCGGTCAGCGGTTGGGTAGGGGGAGGGTCGGGCTCGCAAGCGGTTGGGGATGTCATGGTTGGGACGCGGGGTGGGAGAGAGAACGAAGGGATCGGTGGTGATGAGGGTGGAGCGATGAAAAAAGCGCGCGATGGCTCAATTTTTGAAGGGACGCTTTAATTTTAAAAAGTGCTGACACCTGTAATTAGAAACATCCAATAAAAATGCATTTCGTCAAGATCGAAGCTCTCCGCCAATCAGGTTCTGTAATGCACGCGCACCCCTCAAAATTATTCCAAAAACAGCTTTCGCAAAATCACACTTACAGTAGCCGTTACACAGAAGACGTCTTCTGTGCTGATCGACAAACCTGTCGGGGGTCCCCACCATCCCCACCTCCCTTGTCACTTGCACTCTCACCGACCCCCACTACATATCCTCTTCGCCATATCACCTCGCTCCCATTCTGTCCTTGCCCCCCGTCCCGCCCGCCACAATGGCCGCACCCACCGCTGCGATGCCCCCCTCGCCCACGCGCGCCTCCCTTCTCGACCACCACGCTGCTCAACTTCAGCACCGCTCCGCCGCGCTCGACCTGCGCGCGCACGAGCTGTCGCAGGCTGAGGCCCGCCTGTCGCACCGTCTCTCCGCACTGCAGACGCGAACGCACTCGCTGTCACGCCTCGAGTCGACCGCGCGCTCCGAGATGGCCTCGCTGCTTGAGGCTGTCACGTCGCGCCACGAGAAGCTATCCGAGAGCGAGTCGCGCCTGCGCCAGCGCGAGCAGAGCCTGAAGAAGAAGGTCTCGGCGCTGCGCGGCACGCTGCGCAATGCCGCGGCTGTCGAGAGGAAGCTCAGGGAGAAGCAGGACATGCTCCGGGAGACAGAGAAGCGCAAGGAGGAGATGCTCGCCGCGCTCGAGGAGGCCGAGGAGCGCTTGAGGAAGGTCGAGAGGGTGTCCACCGCGGCGGAGGAAAGGGCTGCGAAGGTTGCCGAGGAGGGAGATGTGCTGCGAACGGCCGCTGATAAGCTCGAGATGCTTGAGAGAGAAGTTCGGAAGAGGGATAAGGAAATTGGGAACAAGGAAAGAGCTGTCAGAGAAGGGGAGGAGAGAGTGGAAAGATTATTGCAGTTTGAGGACGTCGTGCAACCGATGAGGCGCTTCGTAGGGGAGTTTGCCATCTTGCTTGCGGAGGAAGGGCGAGGGACGGCAAGTGAACTACCGGATGGCGCTGCGGAGGATGCTACGCCGCAGCTTGTGGCAGCGGAGGCTATTGTCGCCGTCCGCGAGCTTTGCGCTATGGTCCGCGCTCTCAGGGGGCAGAGGGAGGCGCAAGACGCCCGGGAAGCCCGCCTGGAGCAGTTGGAGAAGCAGATGAAGAAGGAAGAGGGCGCTTTGAGGGTGAGGGAGAGGAGTCTCAAGTCAGCGGAAGGCAGGCTGGATGTCGCGCAGCAGAGCTTAAACGCCGTCCAGAGCGATGTCGACAAGGCGTGGGCGGAGATTGAGAGCAACCGGACAGACCTGGATCGGAGGGAGGAGAGTGTGAGGTTGAAAGAGTCTGATGTTATCGAGGCGGACCAGAGAAGGAGGAGGAAGGAGAGCGCAGTTATGCAAGGAGAAAAGATGCTTGTGCGGAGAGAGCGCAGCATTCAAAGGGCTCATGCGGCGGTGGGAGAGAGGGAGAAGGCTGTTGAGCAAAGACAGAGGGACCTCGACGAGGAGAAGGCCAGCTTACACAACTTGAAGACGACCATTGATTTGAAAGAGGATTTGCTGCATACAAGGGATTTGGAGTTTACGGCAAGGGAAGCGAAGAAGAATGCGGCGCTGGATGCCTTACTTGAAGCTTCGGTCAGGAAGAAGAAGAGGCGCTCTTCACGCGAGCACTCTGTCTCTCCTGAGAGCGGGAGTGGGTCCTCACCAACACCAGAGCCGCAGGTGCTCAATCCCACGGTCGTAGAAACGCGGGGTAAAAACGTTCAGCGGATTGTGCAATCTGCACCAGCTCCGGCAAGCACTTCGCAAGCAGCAAGGCCAACGGGTCAATCCCAGGCAAATGACCTAAACGGAGCCCTTCAAGACCCTGAACCTTCTACAGTTCGACGGCAACTGGAGTTTGAGACTACAGTGCAGCGTCAAGCGACTACGAGTGGAGGTGCAGTGCTGCCTGCGCCACTTGTTTCAAGACTGCCTCAGGCTGAGAAAGCACCAAATCAGGATGACTTAGACAAGGCTCCAACGCACGTCGTTAACGACGATGACAACGAAAGCGAGGCAGCAGCAGACGACTTGCTCCCTGAACTACTCGGGGCCCGTGCGCTTTGGAAAGAGAGAGTGGTTCGGCTCGAGGCCGTGGTAGAAAATATGCGTGAGAACACCTGGGCTCTGAAACCGCACGTGCAGCCAATTCTAACATCTGTGTCAACACAACTGCGGGACATCCACACGGAGATCGATTCGACCCCCGAGAGGCACCCTGAATCCTCAAAAGCATCCTACGGAACGGAGCAGCAGCGGCAAGTCCGATGGGGTGCGTTGATTCGAGAGCAGCTAGATGCGGTGCGGGACGTCCAAACAGGGATGCTGATCGCTCTGAACAAGGAGGAGGACTCGATGTTTCAAGAAAGTGGCCCCGCCCCCCTCCCCTCTGAACAGAGCGAGAGCGCGACTCAGACGACGAGCGAGCCCTCGGAAGGCCCGCGCGAGAAGCGTAGCCCGCCGCACATGGCCGGGGACGAGAGCTCTGTGGACGTGACTCTGGACGCGACGGACGGGCGGCTGTTCCCGGACCATTCGCTCGAGGCGACGGAGGACTTTGGCTCGATCACGTCCTCGTTCCGCAAGTTCCGCAGGCAGATGCGGGCGCAACGCGGGCTGGCAGAGGCGTCGCGCAACAGTCGGATTATTCGGAGGGAGCGCGTGCCGCGGGAGGCGCCGGCTCGAATGCGGCCGCGGCAACCGGTCGGACGGGGGGTCGTCGTGCGCGAGACGAGGGGGATCCGCGGAAGCGACCTGCTGCGAGAGCTTGAGTCCGTGCGCAACGACCTGGAAAGCATCACCGGTAGCACTAATTCGTCGGGTTTGCAATGATAGCTTCACTGCGCTTTAGAATGTTAGCAAGCATGTGAATTTGAATTAACTCAGTAGGGCTCTTCATGCAGGACACTATTTTCCGGCAATTATCGAAGTAACAGGGCTGCTGCAACGGCTTCATATGATGAAATCGTATCCTTTCACCTACGCACAACAAGCGGGACGCAAGGGAGACAATTGGACAAGTTGACACCACCGACAAGCGAAACGTTTTATGTAAAATTAGCGGCCGCGCCTACTCCTCGATGGTAACGGTCTGGAGGCCCTTGAAGGTGGTGACGGGTACGTAGCTGGCGAGGGTGTAGAGCGGTTCCTTTGCGTCCTCGTCGTCGTTCCTCTTGCGGGAGAGGCGGACGCGGATGCGGTAGGGCACGTTGCGCACGCCGGTCTTCCAGATCTCCTTGTTGAGGCGCGTGTCCACGCGCACGTCCGACGTGCCCATTGTCTTGGTCGCAAAATCACGGATGACCTTGACCGCGCGCGGCGCCTTGCGCTTAAAGCCGTACTTGCGCAGCTTCGGGTGCAGGTGGATCGTGTAGTCGCGCGTCACGACCTCGGAGCCTTTCGGCTTTCTGTCCTTGGCCTTTTGTGTGCCGCGTGGAGAGAGGGAGGGTTAGTCTCGTAGGGGTGGGGGGGGGGTCGGGGCGGCGCTCGGATCACCGAATAGGTCGCTGCATTCGCTCTTCCGCCCGAGGCGTTGCGCACCCGGCGATTCACACATTGTCGCAGATCAATTCTTCTCAACATGGAAGCAAGCGTGACCGGACGGCGGCCTGGCACTACCGGCGTCGTCGGGGGTGCAGGCCTTGTCGCGGGATCGATCGGCATCGAAAGCGGCGGAGAGCAGATTCGGACAGGATGGGTGAAGGAACGACTTACCATTTCTTAGATTGCAACTGGCGGCGCAAGCGGACAAGTTTGCGATGCAATGGATGTTGCGGGCGAGAATAGCGAGGTTGGGAATGGGGGCTGCGAGAGAAAACGTTGAGAGAGATGGTCAGGGGGACAATGGCATCGGCGGCAGGCGACGTCGCCGGCGGCCGGACAGGTGTCCGCCGACGGGCGGATCATACGAACTGAAAAGGAATTACATTCGAGAAAACATAATTACGGGAGCACCACACGCCGTTGAGAGTGGGCCAGTCACAACGCGCCAGGTGTTCGGCCAAGAGTGTTTCTGCATAATTTTCAACGTTCCCACGATCGCCCATGCCACAGGCGAAAGGCGCGGGAATCACCAATCTGCCTCAATCTCCGCGTCCCCCACCGCACCTGGCGGTGCTCTCACCGTCAACGCCCAAAGTCCTCAAAGCCCTCTCCCGCGACCCTCACCTTCAACAACGAGCACTCCCTCTCTCCCGCCCTTCATCCGCACCTCACCCCACAATGTCTCGGCGCCCTGCTTTCCAAGCCTCTCTCCCCGTCCGTCTCTCCGCGCGCCCGCCGCCGCTGGCCCACGCGCGCCGGCGCAACCGCGTGGCGGCCACGCCTTGCCGCACGGCGCGCCGCGTGGCGGCCCCCCATCCCCCTCTCTGCGCGACTTCCGCGGCCGGCGTCCTCAAGGACGAGGTGATCCGGGTGCCGTCCACCGTGCCGGCGGACCGCCACCACCCCGTCAAGGTCTCGCTGCGCGCGGAGTCACTGGGCCGCCGCCGCCGCCGCGTGGTTGGCGGCGTCGACATCGCGGCCACGCCTGCGCGCGTGTGGCGCGTCCTCACGTCGTACGACCGCATCGAGCGCTACATGCCCAACATCGTGTCCAGCACCGTCGAGGACCGCGATGGCGTCGTGTATCTGGACCAGGTCGGCATCATTTCGAACAAGCTCGGACTCAGATCGCGCATGCTGGTCCAGGTGCACGAGAGGGAGGAGGACAGATTTATTTCCTTCTCGAGGGTCGAGGGGAGAGACTTTTCGGAGTTTGTCGGGAGTTATTCGGTTAGCGAGGTCGAGGGGGGAGTGAGACTCGATTATGAACTCGTCGCCATGCCGTTTCCACTCTTCCCTATGTACTTGGTCGAGCGGAAGGTGTTTAAGGAAATCCCGAGGATGCTCGCCTCGATTAGGGAGGAGGCCATTTTGGGGCGCGTTATCCCGTTTGAAAACGAATAAGACCTAACAGTTTTGTTATTCCACATTCATCTCGTACTAATCTCACCGCCAGCTCACTCTCACATTTGTGTCAATTTTATCTCGCAACATCTTTACCTTATTATCCAACTAGATCTAACTCAACGCTCCCGTTGCAGTCAGTTACAAACAAAATCAGGGAAAACGCACTAAATTTCACTAGGCAAGTCGTCCACTCAGTTGAAGACATACCTTACGCCTTCGCTTTAAGGATCGATGGCAGGAAGTCAGAGGGCTCCTCTAACCCCAGCAAGTTGAGTACTGTAGCTCCCAGGTTAGCAATACCCGCAGCCTTGCAGTCCGGGTCGTCGCCCCACCGTGCAGATTCGTTGAGCTCGTAGTTTTCAATCCCATTCCCAGTCACCACGCACGGCACTTGTTGCTTCGTGTGCGACACCTTCGCCCTCCATCCTTCAGGCTGCGACCCCGGCTTCGGATTTCCGTCCTTTCCGCACTCGGCCATGATATCGCAATTGCCATGATCGGCGGTGAGCACTACTACCCCTCCGCGGCTAATAATCTCCGGTATGACACGCGCGAGGCACAGATCCACGCATTCCATCGCCATACGCGCGGCAATCATGTGCCCCGTGTGCCCCACCATGTCTCCATTAGCATAGTTGACGACCATAAGATCCGGCTTAAACTCGTCAAGATCCTTAACGATCTCGTCCGAGATCTCAGCTGCCTTCATCCAGGGCCTGGTCTGCTCGCGCTGCTTGTACGACGGCACGCACGTGTATTTCTCCATGTTCTCGTCGAACTTGGCGGCCCGATTCCCGTTGTAAAAGTATGTGACGTGGCCGTACTTCTGCGTCTCCGACACGGAGAAACGCTTCATGCCGTTCTTCACGACATACTCAGCGACAGTGCGCTCGATCTGAGGTGACGAGACGAGGAAGCGCTTCGGAATACCAGCGTCGCCATCATACTGCATCATGCCGGCGTAGCGGACCTTCGGGACGCGCTTGCGATCAAAGTGGGTAAACTCACCCTCTTCAGCCTCGAATGCGGTCGAGATCTCGATGGCGCGATCGCCGCGGAAGTTCCAGAACAGCACTGAGTCGTTATCCTGAATGGGTCCGACGGCATCGCCGTTGTCATCCACGACGACGAACGGCGGAAAGTACTGATCAGTCATCTTTTCATCCTTGTAAAAGCCCTGCACGGCGTCAACTGAGGAAGAAAAGGTCTGAATGTTTTCGGTATCGCCCAAACAATGGGCGGCCCAGCCTCTCTCGACCATTCCCCAATCGGCCTCATACCTATCCATGGTGCACACCATACGACCGCCGCCGCTTGCGACGCGGACGTCGACGCCGGACTCACGGATCGCTTCGAGGCGCTTCTCTAGCGGGCCGAAGTAGTCCAGGGCCGAGCGCTCGCTGACATCGCGGCCATCAGCGAGCACATGGACGCGAATGCGCTTCGCGCCGTCATCGATGGCGCCATCGATGAGCTGGAACACATGGTTGACATGGGCATGCACATTACCGTCAGAATACAAGCCGAGGAGATGGAGAGTGGCGCCGTCGGTGAGCGGCTCCATGAGCCATTTCCAGACGTCGGACTTGAAATCGCCACTGCTGAAGGCTTTGTTGACGAGCTTTGCTCCTTGATCGAAGACGCGCCCCGCGCCGAGGGCGTTGTGTCCGACTTCAGAGTTGCCCATGTCGCCCATAGTCGGGAGGCCCACGGACTTGCCGGAGGCGTCGAGCTCAGTGAAGAGGGCGGTGGCGCCGTCAGGGCCCTCGCCGGACATGAGCTTGTCGAGGAAGGGGGTGCGAGATTGGGTGACGGCGTTCCATGCGGTGTCGGGGGCTTGGCCGACGCCGTCCATGATGATAAGGGCGACGGGGCCGGATGGCTTGGTGAAGCCGGGCTTGGGGGAGAGCTTCATTGTGGTGGGAGCGGCGCTTGAGGATGCCATTGTGTGGTTTTGGGTGGGGGTGGGGGGAAGAATTGAACTGAAGTTGTGTTTGTGGAGGTAGGGGGGGGTGGGGGTACGGGGGTCGAATGCTCAGGGCGGCGGCTGCGGAGTTGGGAGAAGGCGTTGTTGTTAAAGGAGTTGAGAGGGGATCTGGGTATGTGACCGGCGGTCGGCGAAAATCTTTACTGGGCGTGGAGGGCATTCTGATTCGCTAATTGTCCGGGCGGCGCATCTCTGCGATTCAGTTGGACGTCATATCAAATCCTTGTCCACCATTCGTTTATACTCTATCTGACTTGTTAGCCAACCATCACTCGCCAAATGGCCAATTCGTTTGTACTAGCACCGTCGATAATGCCACCAACCTTTTCTATGTTGTCCATCGAAACACATACCATTCATATTCAGTGAACCATTGCAACCGATGTAAACAGTTATACGAAACAGCGGTCAAGGCATTCTCCAGGGGTCGGTTTCCAACAAAACTCGTACCATTCACGATACGGAAGCAACAACGTGCAGAATCTGATGTAGTACATCAACAACGTTTCAGAGAAGAAAAGTCATCTGTTCTCTGCATGCCTAGCCAATCCTTTGCATATATGCAACCTTCGACTCCATGACGGCATGCAATAGGATCAACAGTGCCTTCGGTCTCGCCTATCTAAAATACTCTCCCATGTGACAGCTTACTTACTGTTGTTTTGCACGCCACATGATCGTTCCTTGTTGAGCGTGTCTCACTATGCACAGACTGTCGTGCGGCATTCTCTCTCGCCAGTCATCTTACGTTGCATACCGAGGACATCAATTGTCCTTAGTTTTGATGCCGCATGTTGTGAGTAAAAAAGCCCGTTTCGAAGCTTTCAATACAGTATAACACGTGTTACCTTCCCATGCTTTTTTCCAATAATATCCACTCCAAAAAAAATCTTCACCTCTTCCTTATACCACACGTCCTCTCTCTTTTCTGTTTTTTAGTTGCATTCTACACTGTGGCGATTCACTCGACGTAAACTTTTCAATTTTTCAATATATGCGTCCTTTTCGTTCCCGAAAACGTCGTGTTCCGTCGATCGGTGGTCTATCACGGGGGCAGACTCTTTTTTATATATATTAATTATTCCTTTTAGGTGCACTAAACTCACAGATGTTCGACAATGAACACGACTCCATATTTACTGTGCTTGTCAAAAATCCTCCTTTTTCACTGCTTCAAAACTGCTTCAAAACACCCGCAGGAGTGAAATGCATATCTATTATCCAGTCTCTCGATTCATGACCCAAAACGTACGATTACCTGCGTCCGGATACCTCCGTAGCCTTCGAAGATTAAAAAAAGCATATCACATCCTGCTTTCTAATGTTTTCGTATTAGCATTCGTTCACCTGATGGATATAATAGTGAGGCAACGTGTTCACCTCGGACACCTGCAACTCGGAGTAGGGAATGCATTACCAAACCTCTGCATTACTGGTGAATTGCGACGTTAGCTACTTTTCGAACACCGACTAGATAATAAACGTTTTGCTCCGTACAAGGAACCGGTACAACCTTGATGGATAACTACTAGATGTTCTACTTCAGCGGGACAACCGCATAGGTATATCCCGCTCACACTCTTTCTCTCGGAACGCTTCCTAGAGCTGTCCAAGCCGCCCTTCGGCAACTCGAGCCTACGGCTCGAGCTTGATCTTCTCTCGCCCCAGATACATAGTGATGACAGAAAGTCAAACCCAAGTACCTGTGCTTGGAGATGAAAGCCAGCTCGGAGCCTCTTTCTTTCAAGTTTCAGAATCCAGCCAATCAGATCTTGGACAAAGAGACCTCAATGCTCTATCTGAGGACCATGACGGGCATTTATACATCAATGTTGATTCCATAACGGATCACCTCCGTCGTCATAATTGTTCAAGCGATGAAACTTATTTCGGAAACTCTGCAGAAGGCTCAAATGGCAATTCGAGCTCCTCGAGCCCACGGAAGATTGGCGCAACTGCGGCCGTTATACCACGTGCTAATCCCACCGTATATCATTCTCCAGAAAGCATCACCTCGAAAATACCAGCCTCATTGTTCAACGAACCTCCACAGGTGCAGGGTTGTGACTCAAAGGCGAGCCAACTGGATATTACCGATTTTATTGACAACTTTCTCGGTGATGATGAATTGATGCATAACGTTCCTGAAATTCTAGACACCTTGAACGTCGAAAAGCAGTCCCCTACGTCCTTTCCCGTTCGATGGGAAACGGTCCAACCGCCAACGACTTCACATTTCCCTCAGCTGCCGACGAATTCCGCAACTAAAACACTCTCTCAAATACACACGCTTCCGAAGTCTGCATCCCAAACCTTCCCTGTAGAGAAGAAGGAGCTTTGCTCAGCTCCTGGGACGGAAATGCTGCAGGCCTGCACAACACCGACCAAAATAGAGCCTGTCCTCCAAAAGCAAGCAAATGGCGACTGTCTATCTGCAGGGCAAGGACCGGGGCCATCAAAGTCCACGCCGACACGACGCGCGGAAAAGCGAAAACCTCGAACGTACACTCAGGCCGTTCCCAGCCAGCATTGCCACATCTGCTCTCGGCGTCCTACTGAAGGCTCTCCTCACCAAGTCTGCGGCAATCTGCAGAAAGGGCGGTGCCGTAAAACAATCTGCACGAAATGCTTTCTCCAATTCCGGTGGGACCTCAACGCGGCACGGGAAGCACCACCAGGCACGTGGGAATGTCCTCATTGCCGCGGGCAATGCCCGCAGAGAGCGCAGTGCGTGATCTATAACCGGACGTCAGACCGGCGAAGACTCAAGCTGATCAACCATAGGAAGCGGAAGGGCGAAGCTGGGGACGGGTCGAACGGGAAGAAGAGCAAAGGGATACCAAAATCGAGCGGGGCCAGCAGCGGAAAGACTACGCTTGCGCAACCGGTGGCTCAGGGTGCGGAGAAACGAACGGCGAAGAACTGGGCAACCTCTAGTTTATCGCAAAAGAAGAACGGGGCGACCAAGTTTCGCAAGAAAATCGCAAAGTTACACGACCTGCGCAAGGGCATAACCATCTTGGAAAGTAAGGAAGTGGATTCACATTTAGGCAGAAGCCATACAGACATGCGGGGGGGACAGAAGATGCGACTCGAGCGGCAGTACCACTCGTCACTCGTCGGCGAACATTCGAGAATGACAGACACGAGACTGTTACTGGATGACATCACTGCAGGAAATAGCACACACGAAAAACATGTAGAGCCTATGATGATAGGAAGAACTTCGGATCTTTCAGGCAATCCATTAACCGGGTGTGAAGCACAAGACTATGATAATGGGGTTTCGCACAGCACAACAGGACAAGAAGAGTGTCTACAAAACGGGCCCGGGACGGCGGCGCAAGGCGGATTCTCCCCCGCTGGGACGATGTTTCCGTTCCTGTCGGGCGACCCATTCCTGTCAATGGGCGGGCAGCTGCAGTTCGGGTCTAGTGATATTTCAGGAGGACAGGACTTGAGCGGAATGTCAGGTGGGGAGGTGAGCAGCCGAGTGCATGGGGCGGGGCTAGGGATGGAGGAGGTGTGGCCGAAGATGTATCCGCACGAACGTGACGAGGAGGTGTGTGATGAGACGCCCGACGATTTATGGATGCTTCCGCAGGAAGGGTCTGACGCGGACGAAGGGGACGGGGAAATTGACGCGGTTGGAGCGGGGCTTTGGCATTCGATGCACCAAGAAGGTGGAGGGGTCGACGAGAAGGAGGCTTTGAGGGTGTAGGTGAGAGGGTGAGCTGGCTGCTAAAGAAGAATAGATTTGAGGTTGATTGTGAAGTGTGGGGTGGGGGGCGGGAGGCGGCGAGTGAAGCTTGAGTGTATGGGTTCGAGTTTTTTGTTTGTAAATAGTTCTTGTGGTGGTCGAAGAAGACGCTTTTCGAATTGCCTCTGTACGTTGGTGTGAGTGATGTGAGAGACCGAGGGGATAAGGGTGAAAGCAGCGAGCATATAGTAAGTTGTAACGTGTCTAAAACGTAATCAAAGGAGATTCAAAGCATAAAGAAACAGTACGCCCGGAAAGCATAGCCGAAAAACATGACTGAAAAGAATAACCAACAAGAACACATCCAAAAAGCAGCAAAGGACAACAAAGCCCAGCCAAAGTATAATCAAAGCACAACTGAAGCATAACGTAAGCTTACCCGAAGCACAGAAAAGAATACTCCCTTGCACCCAATACCAATACCCATTCCCCTCGCGCCAAGTGTGTGCAGGAGGCCCTCCAAAATGTATTGAAAATTCCCGATATGCCCACCGAGGTCATCCTCAGGTCATCTGAGCTCTACACATGTGTCGCATATGCCGGGCTGCTTCCGAAAAATCTCATCACCCATTCTGCCCCGAACCCTACCGCCCTCTATCTCCCCCAATTCCTCCTTTCCTCGCGTTCTTCCCGGCCGTCCAACCTCTCCTCCTCACCAACCTCAGTCGCAATGGCATTCGTCTCCACCCCCCTCCCGCACTCGCGTCCCTCCGCCACGCGCGCCGTCACGTCGCGCCACTCGTCCTTCGCGGCGCGCCCCGCCGTGGCGCGCCCGCGCGCCACCCCGGCGCGGGCGCCGGCCCCGCGGATGCAGCACGGCAAGACGGTGAAGGAGAGCCTTGTCGACGCCAACAAATACAAGACTCTCATCCAGCTGGCCGAAGCTGCGGGCGTGGACTTGGACGTCTCCAACTGCACGGTCTTTGCGCCCAATGACGCGGCCTTCGCGAGCACGCCCCCGGGCTTCGTCACCAACCTGCTGGCGCGTCCCGCGGAAGCCGCCGCCGTCATCGCCCGCCACATCCTCCCCGACCGCGTTTACACGTCCAAGCAGATCCGCGGCTGCGGCTTCTGGGACGGCGTCCCCGGCGGGCCGCTGCCCTATGAGGGCCTTGGTGCGATCGTGCGCGTCGGCAATACCCGCATCTTGAACGACAGCTGTAACGATGAGTGCGTCAACGGCATCATTCATACCGTCGATGCCGTGATCTCCACCCCGATGCACAAACCTGAGGGCGTTGCGAAGACTTACGTCCCGTCCGTCCCGACCTTTACGGATAGTACCGTGGGCTCGCTATATCCGACGGGCACCTATTCGAGGGACACTAGCCGTGCAGTGGGTGCGTGTTTGCCGAGCACCTCGGGGGGGAGGAAGGCCATGGGTCTCGTCAACCAACTCCCGTTCTGGCAGTACGGGCCCCCCTTCAACGCTGCCAAGCAGGAGGATTATGAGCCCATTTCCATTGCCCAGCCGGAGGGCGCCTCTGTTGATTATCAGCTCATGCCTCCAGGAACGGTTATCGTCACCCCGGATGAGGTTAGCGCTGATAAGCTCTTGCCGGTTTCGGGTATGTCCAAGTATATTGGCAAGACGAAGAGGTTGGTCGAGGAGGGCGCGCAGTCCGACTATTCTCGGTTGCCGTATTGAGGGGGCTATGGAGGCTTAGAAGTTATGATTTTGGTACCGGTCCTGGTGTTGGTGTGATTAGGACTTCTTCTACGCATGGTATACAAAGGCAAATGACTTCAGCTCGTGATGGTGGGGAGAGCACTGATGGTGCGGAAATTTCTAGCAGTGTAAAAGTTATTCATTCTTTTAGAGCCGCTTGCATTGCTTTTGTGATTTGTTTGTCGTGACAGTTTGTCACATCACGATCTTTTTTTATCGGTAAGCCGCTCGTCTGACACCAAAGGTGAACGAACGTTCTAGCAAGAATGCAGGGTTGTCGAGTTAAAAGAGTCAATTAAAAGTCGCCTTGATATTGAAACGCGAATGGTGGAGAGTGTACCTAGAGTCAGTATGAGTGAGTATGTATATGAGTAAGACGTAACGAGAGTATCAAGCTTTCTCTGCCTTCTGGTCGACACCGGAAGAGAACAAAGGCTCTTTTGCATTCTCTGCCTTATCAACGACTTGCTCGGCGGCCTTATTTTTCATCTCGGCCCTCCGTACGAGCGTATAAGCCAGGGACCCGGCGAGGACGATGAACACGGAAAAGCCACCCAAGCTTGTAATCGGGTTTTTGTAGACCAGCAAAGCAATGATGGTCTGGGCAGCCGACTTGGCCGTGGCGGAGACGTTGTGAGTCAATGGGGACGTATACTTGATTTGGGCAGCGGAGGCAAAAGAGATGGAGACACCCAGCAAGCCTGAGCAGGCGAGCAAAAACCAGTACTCGAGGCTGCGGGTGAGCGGCGAAGTGAGCAGGACCGGAATCTCTCCGGAGAAGAGGATCAAAGGGAGGAAGAGGAAGCAGGCGTTGACGTTGTTATAAAGGGTGATTTTCCAGGGGTTGTTGTCGACCAGGGCGAACTTTTTCTTGACAAAGATGGCATTCATGGCGACGAAGAAGGACGAGGTGACGCCGAAGACAACACCGACGAGCGACCAGCGCACCTCCTCGATGTTGCCTAAGGCGAAACCGGAGACGACGAGAGCGCAGCACAGCGTGGCCGGGACGGAGGTGGTTTGGCCGAGCACGAGCAGGTCGAAGACGACGTTGAAGACGATGGTGAGCGAGCGGGCGACCTGGTAGAAGGAGACCTCGACATACTTGAGGCAGAGGTTGTTGAAGACGATCATGCAGGTAAAGATGCACGACAGCGAAAGGATCTGCTTAAGGATGTCCAGCCGGACCTCGAACGGCGGCACGGCGAGCACGTTGAGCGAGCCGGCCATGTAGCAGAACGCGACCGTGACCACACATTGTGACCAAGTAATGAAGAACGGCGCCGACGCGATGTCCTGCGAGCCCAGCAGCGTCTTGTTCGCAAACACCATCGAGATCGAGATGAACCAGTAGAAGGACACGGCCGCGCCGATGTGCAACATCTGCCGCGAGAGCGGCGTGGACGCGTCCACAGACATGGTGGCGAGCGTGCGGGCGACGGTCGGAAAGGGCGGTGAGGCGCGGCGGTGAGGCGCGGAAGGGGTGGAGCAGGGGGGAGATGCCGGGGGTACTGTGGGAGGAGCGGGAGAGTGGGCGTTTGTGTCTGCGGAGGACAAGGGGCCTGAGGCCTGAGAGGGTTGCAGTGTAAAGTTACTGTCGTCTAAACTTGCACGACACGACGCATGCGTGCATTAAAAAGCGTGCGACCAATCGCGGGGGCGGATTCGTGATGCACACCGATGCCATTCCGGGCGAGCCAATACCGCCCAGCCGGGGCACCGCACCTCCGCCAGTGCGTCCGGCGACCTCCCATGCGTCTCGCCTTCCTCCCGCCGCGCGCCCTGGCGCCTACGCGGCAGCGCGCGGCGGCGACCACGCGGTGCGGGCTGCGCCCGCGCGAACTGCCGCGCGAACTGCCGCGTGTGTGCCGCGTATGCAAGCGCGGCTACGTGGTGGCGGAGAACCACGCCGCCGCGTGCCGTTTTCACACCGCGCGCTGGATGGGCGCAGAGAACTCCAAGCACTTCGGACGCGTGCGCGAGGGGGAGGGGGGCACGGCCTACTTTTACGACTGCTGTGATGCCGAGGAGCAGGGGGCGGAGGGTTGCGCGACGGGCTTTCATAAGGGGTATGATGACGAGTGAGCGCGAGGGCGGACAGAAGGGCGTGCGACAAGGAGGGAGGGGTTCTAAGTGTGTGTGTGTGGAAGGTGGCGTAAGCGTCGAGAGCGCGGCGGAGGGTTGATTTCTCTCCCTAAAGCGCCAATATTTGCTGGTCGTTGTCCTCTAGAGTCTTATCTCACCTTTATACAGTACATTGATGTCAATTATATACACAAGCACTTGTTTCATATCGAGCTTGTCTATCTCAAACCATTGTCCTTCCCTTCTTCGTATCCTCAAAACAGATACAAGCCATCACTACCATCGCCACATCTGCCTACCAAATACCCTTACGGTACAAGTGTCATCTGTCAACGCGTCATTTCTACCACACTTTTGGTAGCAACGCGCACCCGTCCACTTCCTTGATAATGTCGAACGAATCCCACAACTCTTGGTGCTGTTCGCGCGCGTCCCCCGTATCCGATTCGAGCTGTTCCACAATGCTTGGCAGATGTCTCGGGTGCTTGCGTGCCAACTCCCGGATCATCCCGAGGCACCGCCAAAACCATACCGGCTTGTCGTCAAAACCAGGCAAGTTTTGGTTGTACTCGCTCTTCTCCATGTCGTCGTCTTCGCTGCTCTTATCCTTCCTCAGTAGCTTTTGACACAGGTAAAACAGACGTCGGAAGGAGAAGAGCAGTAATTCTGAGATCTCCTTCTTTGCCCGTTCCGTCCCCGACTTGGCATTTTCCAACCGCGCTTCGGCCCGTTCGATTTCTCCTTCGTTTGCAGCCGCAGCCGCTTGCGATGCCGCTGTCAGCTCCGTCCGCGCCCCATTCTCTCGTGCCCGAGCCCGTTGCATCACCAGACGTATCATTTCCCAACGTGACGATTGAGACAAGTTTTTCTTCAACTCATCGTCGTCTAACGCCACCATATTTTGGCCGTCGGCTCGTTGCTCGGAAAGAACAGAATCAATAATAGCCAACCCGTCAATCACCCGGCGCATCGAAAGCTTGTCCAACACGTACATTTGTCGAATGTGCACCTCGCTCCAGAAGCAGCTCACCTCCAAAGTCACCAACCGCCTTGCCTCGGCTCCTCCTGCTTCTGCCATTTGGAGAAGCAGTGCAAGATACCGCTCTGCTACAGTGTCAAAGTGCGACAAAGTTTTACATCCTGCCAACAGAATCGCACGAATAAGAGAAGTCAACCTCCCATTATTCGCATCTGCTTCCGCCTTTTGTTGCAATTTTGGCTCTGGGGGTACAGAACGTATTGGAATCAGCGTGCAAAGCCGTTCCATCACAACTTTCGCCTCCTGCTTGTCCTTCCCTGTCACTACTGACATCAAGCTATCGTTCACTGTGTCGTCAAAGCGAGACTTGTTCCCACTGGATGGCTTTGGAGGCAGAAAGTACTTCATTTCTTCCGGAACGATATCAAGAATGCGTTCGTAGTAAGAAAGCCGGATGCACCTGGATAGCACATCCTTGCAAAACAGGGCTCGGAAGGGAAACTTCTCAACCATGTCTGCGTCAGCGTATAAAGCCCAGTCAGACCAGTTCCACTTGTACTCAAAATTACTGAGATGAAAGGAAAACCATTCGGTTAGCCGATCAAACGATTCCGGGTCAAATAAGCCAGCGTCCTGAAACATAGCCTCCACAGCTGTGAGAAGCTTGACAGGTAAACGAGAATCCTTCACCCGACATAAATCGACAAACAATGTGCCATAGTAGACAGGTGCAAAATTCGGGTCGGGCATCGCGCACAGTTGCGAGAACAATCCTTCCACAATCTCCCCATCCACGTTGTTCAGCATTGGAAATGTTAGCAGTCGTTCAGCAGCCATGACATGATTACTCGAAAAGTTGTCTACAATGTCGACAATGTACGCACGCAACACATGCTTCTCCATCAGTGTTCGATCGGAGGCAAGACCCATGGTGAAAAGCTTGCTGTCGCCCCCTTTCATATCTGGTCCTTCGGGTTTGGGTTGCTTCACTTCTCCATTGATGGGGCCAGGGTCGGCGGTGATGCCCTTTGAAGAACTCATTCCTACATCAGTGTCTAACTTTTTAACCTGATCACCATCCGTCATTGCAACATCTTGCGAGTCTTCACCTCCCTTTTCCGTTTTTGGGGTTTGAGTCTGCCCTTTGACGTCGCTTTTTCCAGTCACGCTTGCTTTGCCCTTTTCGCCATTCAATCCCTTTTGCAGGTCCCTCGCCTCCGGTTTCGGATTCACCAAGAACAGGCGAAAACGCGGCGCCGAGTACCTCGTGAGCTTGGAATGTCCTGGAATGACAAGCGGAGCCATGAGAATCTCATGACCCCCGCTGAGCTCGACGCCAAATTCTTCATATGGTCTCGGAATGATGGTCTCGGCACACTGCCAGTCATTGTTCTTGAGCACAAAAGTGGCCTCGAGAAGCTCTGAAAAGACCTCAACGCACCTCTTACTTGTGGCTGGAGCAACGCATCTCCAGGTACTGGCCTTCCAGGCCTCTGCGATGTTGCGTGCGGCGTCGAGAATTTTGGCGAGTTCCTCCGGCGCTCGCTCGGCGAGCAGAGGCGCAGCCCACGGCAAGGCGTTCAAGGCGATTTCGGCCAAAAACTCGCCGCGACAGTGCACGCCATACTCTGAGCGATTGGCTTGAGTGAGTTCGTGCAAGGCGGCGTCGAGCAAAACGAGAATGTATTCGGCTACCGAAATGGGCGACACCATTGCGCTGCATGAGAGACAGGCCAAAAAGCGCAACGATCTCCGTGCGACGCCAGAGTGGCCGTCGCGTATAGCGGCGGCCATGTCCTTCCCGACGGCGTCTGCAAGCTTGTTGGCGAGGTCCTTTGCGTATGGTTCGTCCTCAACGGTGAGGAGCCCCGCGATGGTGGCGTACGTGGGGGCCTTGAAGGGAAGGCTGATGCCGCACCGTTTGAGCCCCATGCCGACGGTTTCAAATACATGCGGCGAACCAGAGGCCAGTCGAGGCT